CACTCCAGATGACTCCAATCCACTCCAGAGCTTTTCCTGCAGGCTGACGAATCCAGGCTGTACTATAGTCAGTAACTGAATAGGAGACTTTACAGTTGATAGTGAGAGTGGCATCAGGACGGACAGTCAGAGACTCAGGCTGAGTGAGTTCATATGAATCAATACCTGTATCAAATCAAATAATACCAGTTAATAAGAGAGCATAATGTTTAAAAACTGTTAACAAGCTTTTTAGCAACAAAATGATGTATCACACAGAAAGCAGACTAAACTTACAGGATATCACTGCCAGAAGCAGCACTAAAGATGAAGAGATCATGGTTTGTTTCACAGCACAGTTTGAATGAACTGAAGTGATTCTTCACTCTCTCTATTGATCAGATGAATGTATAAACTGACACATGCCTGCTGTTTAAATATGCAACAAGAGATTTACATAATCATATGCATATCACACTGTCCTGAAAATTATTTTAAAAGCTTTTATTTTTTAATTTATTGAGGTAATTATTTACATGGATAATGAGCAGAAATGTAAACAGTTTGCAGACATTGTGACTGTAAGCAATTTAAATTATTTTTTTTGAACACCAGCTAAATACATAGAAGTGACAAAAAATATAATTTATTGCTTATATTAAAACATTTATGGCATTAAATTCAGAAATGTGGACTAACTGAAAAAAAAATAATAAGTTTACTTTTTTCTATTTTATTTTACTTTGGTTAAAATGTATTTTATTTCAAGTAATAATGTTTTTTTTTTTTATTGTTTTAGTTGACTGTAATAACACTGATTCTGAAAGTATGGTTCTTTTGGACCTACATCAGAAATAATAAAATTCAACTATGTTAGTGACATGTTTTAATAGGCATTAATCTTTCAACATCCCTGATCTGCAGAAATCTACTTTTCATCACACAAAGGCATGCAGAGAGTGCCCTCTATTGTAATATCAGCAGTATTCTTATCAAAGATGACTTTAACCTTGACTTTATAACAGTTACAGGTAATCTAAACATGTTCTTCATGTGGTAACTTCTAATGAATTGGTTGCATTCAAGTCAAAAATATTATTTAATCTGATTAAACCAAACTGATTGTACTATAAGGTTTCATCAACAAAGTAAAGTCTGCGGGTCATTTCTCAGACGTTTGCTGGGCTGTGAAACACTGATGTAAGTAAGAGTCATTTTTGTAGACTATTCCTACAGTATGTATGGGGGACTTTTTATTGCTCGTTTCATTCCAGATGTTTTTGGCCAGAACTGCTTGTGTTTTGTATCACTGTGTGCTCTCTCTCTGGCGCAGTAATACACAGCTGTATCCTCAGTCTGCATATTCTGTCCTCGCAGAGTCACTGTGTTGCTGGAAGACTCTCTGGTAACTTGAAATCTACTTTTCAGTTTATCACTGTAATATGTGTTATCATCACCACATATCTCTCCAACCCATTCCAGAGCTTTTCCTGCAGGCTGCTAGTAGTCAATATCCGATAGCTTATGACAACATGATTGATGACTTTGACCTTTTGACCCATAATTATATCCATGTGTGACCTTTGACATCATAATTGTTTCCATATGCGAAAACCGGCGTGCGTGAAATCCGTCCATCAACATTTGAGCTCTGTGGATGACAAATTATGTTTTTGTAAGTGACCGAGGATGACAGGTGAAAAAAGTATTGTTTTTGAAGATATTATGGTTCGTTCCCATATCCGGACTCATCTGTGTCTTACGTGCCCCGTGGTATCAGGTTGCTGTGTGTCATGCTCGCGCTCTCTCTCACTGAAATTGGGGATAAATCAATAAAAATATAAACTGTCTTACATTTTGCAGGGAAACAGAGAAAGTCTAACTCGTGCAAGCATCGCGGTTCTTCAAATGAAATGTTCCCCAAAATTGTGCTTGGTTTAAATTGAAAGAAGAAATCTTTCTTTGAGATCGTCTCTCTCCTCCTCACCATCTCACTCCCCCTCTGCCTGTGTGCTCATGGCTGTGTGTGTCGAGCCCCCACCGTTCCTGTCATTTCGGTCCGCTGCGAGAGAGAATGCGGATAAGTTTGGCAAAGGTTTAAACGCACTAGCCTACATCTATCTCAAAGCGCGATATTACTTTAATGTTGAAATAAACAGATTCCCTACTCATCTGATGTCCGGCAGTTCTTGTTTATATTTTAACTAGGTTTCTTATTTTAAGCATGGTATGCTTACATGGTCTACAATGGCTTAGTGGTCTACGCAGTCATGATGTGGCGCAATAGTTTGTTTTTGATCATCGTATCTAATTTTTGTCTCAAACGGGTTTTAAAATGCGTTTAGCTAATATCACATCTATTTTAAATATTAATTAACCTTTATTCATCAATTTTTTTAATTTGGTTATGTTTTATTTCACAATGTCGATCTGTTTAAACAGATGTTCTCACGGAGTTCGAACCAAGGACGTGTCTACAGTGGTGGCCAGGGATGGCACCGGCCCCCTGAAATTTGGCTGGCCAGCCCAGGTGTCCCCTCTCCCCCTACCAGATGTCTTGCGATAGGCTTGTTTTTAGTAAATTTCTAACTGCATCTGGCAGTGGCGGATCCTGGCATGTGTAGGCAGCTGCCTAGTGCCGCTTTCTTCTCTTCTTTATACTTAATTTTAGGCGGTTTCTATAGTGTGATCTTAATGACAATGTCGAGAGCGCATAATGTTACGTGATCCATGTGCGCGAGGACGAATCTCTCCACTCCCAAGCGGATTTCCTTCACTCACACAAACCTGTGCTTTTAAATATTGTTCTTTTATGAATTGGCTCTGCTCTCGCTCAGATATTGCGTGTACACGCTCAAACGTTGTCTTCGCATCACTGAAGACTAAGAGCTTTTTTTCTAATTCAGGTGAGGAGTAGACTTATCTCACTAAATGGATGCAAGCTGATTATAGTCAGCCTTCTCTAGTTATTTATTTTATTAATAGCCTACTTATTTTAGTTAAGTGCTTAAATTGTAAATATGCATTTATTCAATTATTTTATTTAGTGCATTTGTATTTTGTTGTTTTTGTATATAGTTTTGCAATAAAAGCGTATCAACCAGGTTCCAGAAATAATCACTGAGGGTGCTTCTGAAATGAGTGAGGGTGCTCTAGTCTTAATGCACATTTTCACATATTTTGTCCCGTCTGTTGCTATGGTTATCACTATGTCAATCACTGCTACTTCGAGAGTGAATCCCGCATAAATATACTGACGTCATTCCCGAAACTTTGCAACGTGTGTGTGGCCGAAAAACAAAGTTCTAGGCTACATTTTAAATGGATTATTGACTAGAAAGCTTGCAAAGAGTGCTCATAACCACTAAAAAGCTGTCACTCTTTGTTTAGTGAGTGTACACGATGTATTAGGCTATAACATACATCGTTCCGCAAACACAACCCCCCAATGTTCATGCTCCTCTCTTGGTCACTTGGCCACTGTAGTTTAGGATAAACAAGTACACCAACACAACATTCAATCGTCCGAATATTATTATTATCTTCTTTTAAATGAAAATATATGAATTAGGCGATCGCATATGATATAAAGCAAAGCAAAACATTTACATTAGTTTTAGTCATCGCTAAAAATTTTACCAGGATCGGGGAAAAAAATATAGCCTATATATTTTAACAGGTCAAACGACAAGGACTATTGGGGGCACGGACATGTCCAGACATGTTTATGGAGACTTTACATAGACAATTTAATTCAATTCACATTAATTTCTTATAACTTTTTCTTTTACAAAACAAATTGTTGCAACGCAGTTTCACAGAAAATTAAAGTTTCTACATCATATTTACAAACTTTTATATTCATATTTACATTATATTAATGCATTTTATACTCTATCACCCCTAAACCTACCCAGCACAGTAAACTTTCTGCATTTTTATATTTTCATAAGCATCATTTAATATAATTTATAATGTAAAAATCTGTTAGGTTCTAAGGTTTGCACAGGTCAATCATTTATCATTTTGAGTAATATTATATATCTGGGGACACTCCATAGACATAATGACTTTTACTGTACACACTGTACACCTACCATCACAGAAAAATTCTGCATACATACAATTTTAATAAAATATTCTTTTAAGCGATCTGAATTATGAGGACTCATCATACACACATTTACATTGTTATATCAGTGTCATTATTCAAATTTGTGTTCTGATAAATCATATAAACAAGCACGCACATAAACATTTCAAGCTAAAGATAGACTTATCTCTATTTTAAAGAATATGGAAATAAATAATTATATATGACAGCATGTTTTACTACCATGCTACTAATTCAAATCATTCATTATTTAAGTTTATTGAACTTATAAAACACATTTTAAATTAAAATTTTTGTTTTTCACTAACTACGCATAATGCAACCATGCTTGGGACGGCCCACATAAACGAGCAAAAATGCTTTACATGTCTTGAAATAATAATTTCTGAACATTAAACATTGACTATCAGTATTTATTCACCTGTTTCTCATTGTTTCTCATTAAAATTCATTAAAGTAAATTACATCGCTAATGTCATAGAATAGCACATTGTAATGAAGTGTTACAACGTCCCCCATCTGCGCAACTGGAATTTAAAACTGGTTAGATTAAAAAAAAAAACTAAAACTAACATCTAATCTGATAAATAACACGTTGGGGATTAAAATAATAGCAGATGTGTCTCATTTTAAATGAAAAATGTACTTAAGCCAGAATTAAAATTATACTATGGTAAAATAAATGTTCAGCGATATCTTCAAAAGATTTTTGAATTTTGGCGCACTTTTTTCTCTATATAATGTTGATATGGTAACTAATAAATACTGTACATATTGTTATGCTGGGCGAGCATGTAGCTATGATCTAGTTCTACACTTATATAGTTGTATTTTTCTGAACCGACCTTTATCAGCGCAATAAATATCATATACTATCAATATACTATTGGTTATCTACTCGGAAATATATGTAGACAGACCATATGTAACCGCTTGTCTGCTGATCTTTGAAAAGAGAGATTATTACTTTAACAGGAGCTAGTCCTTTGCCCAAATAACGTTCCGGTTCATTGAAAATGTTTGTTTAAACAACAACTTGTCAGGCTTAAGTCAACTACAGATGCGAGAAGAGACATTCCAAATGCTACTCATGTCACCATGATACGTATTCTTCGGATACCTGCTGATTTTTGGGGGTTGTAAACACATTGAATGAAAGAGCACATGTGAGGTCTTCACCCTGAGAATATTTAATTGTACTTAACAAGTACAGATTAAGCTAAATGAAATAGCGTAGGCCTAATGGTGTTACAACCATTACAGGAGGCTGATCCAGCTCAATGCAGAAAAGACCTATGAACAACCATGAAAACATTTCAATAATATAAATTGAGCTCCACATTTAAACTAATGTTCATTAGTTTTTTGTGCTGAGCTGAATATGCTCACAGTGCACAGTTGCCAAAACCAACAGTATTGATATGCAGTACCTGATTCCGGTTGTATTTTCACTCTGCTCTGTTAACAAAGAGAGCCTTTATTATGTATTATATGTATCATATGTATCTATCTGACAACACAGCCCTGCATCTTGAAAAAAAAAAACTCTGATTTGCAAAAGGGGCTAATATTACAGGTACCTAATAATTTTTTTGTTTTTACAGTAGTAAAACATCTGGGTCATGTTTGCATTTTCTTCTGTAACTGGCCATAATTCTAACCTTGAAGTCAGTATTAGGCATAAAATAATGTTTTTGAATCAATTATGTCTTAGGAATCATTTGTTTTCTTGACTTTTCTTCTTTCTCTTATCTTTCATGGATATTCCCTAGTTTCATGTACTTTTGTATTTATTGCTTGATTGAAGACTACATTAGGATCCTACATTCTCTCTCGTCTCTGATTTCCCAGCGTAGTCGCAGCCGTATGAAAACAAGTAAAGTAAATGTCTTGCACAGCGGGCTAATACACTGCTATTCAGGCCTTAGTTGCTTCATATTTATTTTGCCTTGCTTTTGTAAACATACAGACTTTGGTATTGTGTCGTAAAATGTTGTATAACATAAAAAGGAATGCAATATAATGTAAAATAATAAAATGAAACTTTGTTTTATTGAAGAATGTGAGCAAGTTGAAGTTTCATGTAGAGGTTCTGAGGCAGTTTGTGGCACAGTGTATCGCGAGCACAATAATACGTCTTCAGTGTTGAGGTTTTTCCTGTTAAAATAGCTGTGTTGCTGGAGGATTCAACATAGAACTGATCTTATTTATAAGTGAATCTATGACGTAATTTGTACTGGAACTATATCCAATCCATTCCATCGGTTTTGCACTTGAATGTCTGATCCAGTTTGTGTTGTAGCCACCACCTGAGGCTGAATATCCAGTGATCTTACAGGCGATGGTAAATGTTTCCCCTGGTTTTACTACCTTTACAGGAGGATGATCCAGCTCAATGCAGAAAAGACCTACAAACAATAAATATAAACATTCTCACTGAATTCACCTGAGATCCACAATAGATTTTCTAGAAATGTTTATTGTTGACCTAAAGAGACTCACTGGGTGCAGATGCCAAAAGTAGTAGTATTAGTAAGCAGTACATGATTCTGGTTGCATTTTCATTCTGCTATAACTCTGTGAAACAAAAAGTTTTTATTGTGTGCTTCTGTTAACATGAGAGAAGGGCGGAGATTTGCATTAACGTAAACATCTATCTGACTGTAGTCCTTATGATAATTATTAACAATAATGAAAATTAGTTATCTAGGTATAGATGTATTTATTCATATTTATAGTGTAAATATCTTGCTACTACTGACAATTTTTCTCTAAGATAAAGAAATAACACACATATTAGCTTAAACACGTACTGAATGCTGGAACAGTGTCATACACATGGATAAACATGGATAAACATGAACAACAAGAGAGTAGTGAACATATATTTATATATTTTATATATCTGTTGCATGCGCAAGATCAAGGATTGTATAATACACTGTAAAGAGTGAATGTGTGCAATTGTTGCCTGTTAAAGAGCTACTTGTACCTGATTTTAATGTATGCTTTTCCTTTTTCTCAGATGAATGTCATTAGTATCAGTGTCATGTTTATTTTGTGGGGTAAGGATTACAAGATGTGTTTGTGATGGCACTTCAGACAGCTTTATCACTTCAGAGGCTCTTCCCCTTTTTCAGCTTGCATAACCCACCATATCTTCTGTCCGCCTCATTTCTCACGATGACTTTTTGAACAGCTGCCTGTATTTGTGTTTCCACTGTGTCTCTGTTGCACAGTAATACACTGCAGTGTCTTCAGTCTTCAGCTGATTCATATGCAGATAGAGATTAGAGCTGTCCTTAGATGCTGTGAATCTGCCCTGCACTGACTGAGCTGAGTTCTTATTATTATCATCATAATAATAAATAATCCATTCCAGTCCTTTTCCAGGTGCCTGACGGATCCAGTGCATGTAAGTGCTACTAACAGTAAACCCACTGCAGGCACAGGTCAGTTTGTAGGAAGCACCTGGAGCCACAACTACTGACTGTTCAGACTGTGTGAGCACAACCTGACAGTCAATACCTGCAGATAAACACAACATTTAAAAAATAATTATGAATATGTATTTATTTACACTTAGAAAACACTTAGTTTGGTTTGTTCAAGGAATTTACTTACAAGACACAGCAGCCAGCAACAGCAAGAGAAATGAAGTGAACATGGTTTATATGAAGGCTGAACTGGTGATGAGTCCTCCACTCAACAGTGTAGCTGTTTAAATACGAAAGAGACATCAGTTCATTTGCATCGAAACCTTGAATTAACAAAATCAGTAGAGTCGGTTGAGCTTGGTTAATTTCATGGACAATAGTAGCATCTATTGATATTGAAATAATATTGTAGTTCAATAACATGGATAATTGGGATTTTATATATATATATATATATTAAAGCTGGTGAATGCTTTATATGACTTTCTTGAAACATAAATAGTGATATTTTTGGTGAAAGTAGGTGTGGGACTGTATTTTAATCATAGGCAGAGTCTCTACAATGTTATTTTTGTTAAGACAGACTCTAGAGACCTTTTTTAATAGTGTTTAAGACAATACCAAACAACAGAATAACATAAGCATACTTTTTTCTTATTTAAATACTATAATCTCCAAATATTATAGATCATCAGTCATTATTTTGAGTAAAAATGTCTTTCTGTCTACTGTCTTGGCAGGGTTGGTGCACAGCACTAGTCATTTCAGTCACTGTGTCTCTCTTGCACAATAATATACATCAGTGTCTTCATTCTTCAGGCTGTTCATCTGCAGATAAACCTGCTTCCTACTGTTGTCTCTGGAGATGGTGAACCGTCCTTGGACAGACTGAGAGTAATATATAGACTGGCTATCATATCTGATCAATGCCAGCCATTCCAGCTCTCTTCCAGGCTTCTGTTCGATCCAAGCCATTCGGTACCAGAGGCAGTACATGTGAGCTTATGGGATTCTCCAGGTTTCATGACTGCAGCCTCAGACTGAGTCAGTGTTTGACACCAACAATCTGCAAAAATAAAACATGATCAATGTACATTTGTGTACATATAGATAAATTCAGCAGTTATTCTTATTCATTTACCTATTGATTCATTTATTCATTTACGCAATTAATTTGTTTATTCATTTACCTATTTGGTAAATGAATAAACCATATTAAGTATATTTTTAATATAATTTATATTTAAGTAATTTCATTTAACATTTTAATTGATTCAATAATAAATGTACAGATTCTTTAAAGTGTATATTGATTTAGGTCTTATCATGGCATTCAACATCCAAACTACGGTAAGTCATGCATGTTAAAATTAGACCAAAGTGTTTGTGCACATGGTTTTTGCACAGGCATTAAACTGCTATTCATCATAGTGCCTGTATACCGAACACAATAATACACAGCCGTGTCCTCAGTTTGTAGATTTTGTCCTTTAAGATATACTGTGCTTGTAGATGTGTCTCTGGAGATAGTGAACTTATTTTTTAACGAATCCTTGTAGTGTATTCCACCACCAGCATGGATCATGCCAATGAACCCAAGGATCTTCCCCTGAGAGTGTCTAATCCAGGAAGGTGCCTTAGAGGTATCACTGAGACACCAGCATGGATCATGCCAATGAACCCAAGGATCTTCCCATGAGTGTGTCTAATCCAGGTAGGTGCCTTAGAGGTATCACTGAGAGCATATCCAGATATTTTACAGGTAATGGTAAAAGATTCTCCAGGTTTTACCAAAAGGGAGCTTGGCTGGTTGTGTTCCACGCTGCTGTACACATCTGCAAATTAAACACACACACACAAAAAAAGTTCATTTTGAAATGATCTTTTTTGTGGTTATTAATTATGTTAAAAAATGCTCAAAAAACCTTAAAGATTTGAACTCACAAGGTGTGACAGACATCAATAGAAGCACAAACAGATAAAACATGATTTTATGAGTGGTTCTTCTCAGCTTCGTGGCAACACAAGAGAATTATACATAGCAAGTGTGGGGATGGGTATATAAATACTGGAGAATTTGCATTGAGTATTGGTAATGTGCGTGTGCACAGGGTGAATACTGAAGGATGGTTCACCAAGAAATGCACATTATGTCATCATTTACTCATTTCAAACCTGAATGAGTTTTTTATGTGGTAGCCTACAGAAAATGTGAATATTGTGGCTGCTTTTTTCCATATAAAGAAAATGAAAATGAAAGTGGTTTGTTTCTGTCACACTCCAAAAGTATGAAATAAATAGCATTAAATGTAATATTAATGTCATTATGACTTGTGCACTTCTCCTTTTATTTTCTAAGAAAGGACAACATATAGGTTTGGAAAGAGACAGTTTATGGTCATTTTGGGGTGAATTCTGTCTTCAATATGAAATGCAGCAGTTTCTCAGAGCTCAGCGTTATAATTCTGCCAGAAAGACTCAAAAGGCAGGTGAACGTTTACATGGTATTTATTCTATAAAGGATTAACAGATGGTAGCGAGCTACAATGATTCATGTCTAGTTGTATGGAAAAGTTCTTTGCCATAAGCCCTGTGCTTAGTCCAAATCCTAGGGATGCAGATTTGGCTGGTCCTGCCTGAAGATGAAGGCAGGGACAGAGCCTACCCTTTGATGGATGGACAGGGAACAATCTGGTGGTGGTGGGGAGGAAGGAGGGGAACGTCAGCGTCATCAACTCTGAACGTAAAAAAAGTTCAGTACTTATACACTTCAAGTGTCAAGCAGTGACTTCTCTGTTTGGGTTAATAATTATTAATGAATGACATGCATTAGAATCTTTCTGGTAGATCTTACTTTAAATCTGTCATTTTTAGTTGTGTACGATATTGCTGTTGGTTAATATTTTGCTTTTAAGTTCTGTTAGCTGATAGTAGGTTTATGGATGGTTGTTGGAAGACTGGTGCTGGAATGTTCTACATTACACCCGTATTGTAAAGGGTTACATCAATCTTTCCAATCAATTTTTGTTTAAGGAATGAGAAATGGAATAGAGAGTTGTTTGTTCTCAGATTTTGTGCAGTGCTGTAGCTGTATTCATCACTGTGTCTCTCTTGCACAATAATATACAGCAGTGTCTTCATTCTTCATATTATTCATCTGCAGATACATCTGTTTCTTGCTGTTGTCTCTGGAGATGGTGAAGCGTCCCTGAACAGACTGAGAGTAGTAGTCAATTTTCTTTATGACTTTTATATTCAAACACACCTGATTCATCTAATCCACTCATTAGTAAAGATTTAAAGACCTCAAATGTGTGTGTCAGATAAGAGAGAAATCAAAAACATGCAGTGTTGGGGTCTTGGGGATTCTTCAGGACCAGGATTGGAAACCACTGCTCTAGTTCAAATGAACAACAGCAGCAGTTTCTCAGAGCTCAGCGTTATAATTCTGCCAGAAAGACTCAAAAGGCAGGTGAATGTTTACATGGTATTTATTCTATGAAGGATTAACAGATGGTAGCGAGCTACAATGATTCATGTCTAGTTGTATGGCTAAGTCTGGGTAACTACTAAATCCAGAGAATGTACAGGTGAGTCTGTGAGATCCTCCAGGTTTAATGACCACTGACTCAGACTCAGTCAGTGTTTGACACCAACAGACTGAAAAACAAACAGTTAACATGGTTAATGTTAAACATTGTTCAACATTAACATTTACAACACACATGAGTAAGTCTGATTGTCACAACAGGTTTTCAAGAGTCCTTCTTACATTCTGTGAGAGCAAACATGAAGATAAAACCCAGTTTAGGCAAAATATCCATTGTCATGTTATAAAAAGAGGAAGCTGATGCATCAAAGTCACAGACAAGTTTTGTGTCTGGAGATGAATAGAGTGGAGGCTTTTTAAAGACAATGAGAAGTGGGTTTGCATAGTGTGCCCTCTAAAGGGACATTTACATTTTTCTGCCCTTATGAACCTCTGTAAAAATATTCAGCATAATGTTTGTTTTTCCTATTTATTGATATCTTGTATCACTGCTATTGTGTTAATAGCTGATACTTCTTCTCCACAGTGACACCTATTGAAATTTTATAAACTCTTCAATGATGCAGTAATAATTCATTTGAAACAACACATCAAACTAGACTTTTGCATTTTCTGAAGGAATAGTTGGTAGTGTTTGCCCATGTAAATCTCATCCTGGTTGCCAGTGCTTAATAGGGTTAAAGGCAGGACTATGCTTAATTTCTCTCAAATTTTCTTTAATAAGCAAAATGAATGAATTCAAAATTACTATATTGTGACAAGTCTTTGGGGATGATATAATTTAAGGACAGACAGAAGGACAGAAACTTTTCATAATTTAATACTATGCCCTGGGAGTAAAAACTTTACAGTTGAGACTGTAAACACAAGATTACAGTGTTATATTTTCATTTATACCATGGTCTGCCTGAATTCTCGATTCTGATTGGCTGGCAGGTATGCATTAAAACTCTTTAATGCACAGGTAGTTCCAAGTCAGTTTAATCATCGTTCTATATTAATGTGCTGCTTTAATTGATGCACACAAACCCACACATATCACTTTCACACAAACACACACAGACATACACAGAGAGAGCGAGAGAAAGGGAAGAGAGAGAGACGGAGAACGCAGATTGCATAAGACAAATACGGTCACCCCCACAACTAGTACAAATATCATTTGTGCAGCCCTGCTGTCTTTTGTTTTACTGTGAATCTCTAGCACAGTAATAAACAGCTGTCTTCAGGCTTTTCACCTGTAAATACAGTATGTTTTTGCTGGTGTCTTTGGTGATGGAGAACTGTCCCTGTAGAGACTGAGCAAAAATAGTGCCAGTGCCACCATCAATACGCCCAATCCACTCCAGTGCTTTCCCTGGTTTCTGACGGATCCAGTGCATGTAAATAAGAGCTGCTCATTGAGAATCCAGACACAGTGCAGGACAGAGTCATTGATTCTCCAGGCTTTTTCACCACAGAATCTGAGGAGGTCAAAGACTGACCACTAACAGCTGAAAAACATGGAACAAGTAATGTTAGATTATTTAGAACAATGAAATTAAAACAGTAATATAGAACTAATGGGAGTTTCTCACATGAAATAATCATCAGTAGGAGTCCGTACCATAGCATCTCCATTACCACAGTAAAACAGTGATAGGGTACACTGCAGCTGTGGACACACACACTGACTGAAAGTTCAGCTTATAAAAAAGTCTTTCAGGAGTCTGGGAGACACTGACCCTTCCCACAAAATCATTTGCAGGTTTGCAGCCCTGTAGTTTAACACAGTAATCTGAGAATTATTACAGTAGACAAGGGGAAAATCTTCACTTATGTTTTAATAACTGAGCAAAGTTTTTCTCATGGTGTGTTATTTGATATTGACCCAACATGATTAAAAAAAAAAGATTAGAAAGATTATAAGCATTGCTCAGTCATTTTCCATACAGTTTCTAGCTCAGCAGGGAAGTTTTTTTCTTGATTTATGCTTTTTCTTTTTCCCAGATGAATGTCATTACACTCTTAAAAATAAAAGTACTTCACGATGCCATAGAATAACCTTTTTGTCTAAATGGTTCCATAAAGAACCTTTAACATCTGAAGAACCTTTTTGTTTCACAAAAGGTTCTTTGTGGTAAAAGAAGGTTCTTCAGCAGGGCCGGACTGGGACGTAATTTCAGGCCGGGAAATCTCACACTCATCCAGGCCACACAGAAAAAAAATACACAGGAACTGATGAGGGGAAGACAAGGGACACCTGGAACTAATGACAATTAACATTGGAAACACCTGGGAACAATGAGTAGGGAACACCGGAGGCCATGGCGGAGTAGGGAACACCGGAGGCCATGGCGGGGTAGGGAACACAGGAGGTCGTGACGGGGTAGGGAACACAGGAGGTCGTGACGGGGTAGGGAACACAGGAGGTCGTGACGGAGTGGGGAACACAGGAGGTCGTGACGGAGTGGGGAACACAGGAGGACGTGACGGATTGGGGAACACAGGAGGACGTGACGGAGTGGGGAACACAGGAGGACGTGACGGAGTGGGGAACACAGGAGGACATGGTGGTGCAAGCAGTCCCGGAGGACATGGCGGAGCAGCCTTCGAGGCCGCGGCCTTAGCCCCCGCCTCGGACTATACGGCTGGAGCCCTACTACCCCCCCCCCAAAAAAAAATAATTG